TACACACAAGCACACAAACACACACACACAAGCACACAAACACACACAAGCACACACAAACACACACAAACACACACACACAAGCACACACAAACACACACACACACACACACACAAGCACACACAAACACACACACACACACATATATATATAGCAAATAAAATAGCTATAGCATCACAGCCATCTCTTAAACATCATTGTTACAAGGTGCGTTGACCCTATACAATTTGACATTTGACGTTGCTGTCACGTCACTGCTATCTTATAAACATCATTTGTTACATATCTTATAAACATCTTTGTTACAAATCTTATAAACATCTTTGTTACAAATCTTATAAACATCTTTGTTACAAATCTTATAAACATCTTTGTTACGTATCTTTTAAACATCTTTGTTACGTATCTTTTAAACATCATTGTTACGTATCTTATAAACATCTTTGTTACGTATCTTATAAACATCTTTGTTACACATCTTATAAACATCTTTGTTACGTATCTTATAAACATCATTGTTACAAGGAGCGTTGACCCTAGACAATTTGACGTTGCTAAAATGACCCTGCAAGGCAGCGTCCAGGGAAAAAGGAGCAGAGCCAGACCGAAGAAGAGTTGGGAGGACAACATCTAGGAATGGACAGGCCTGGAACTCAAAGACACGCTCAGGAAAGCTGAAGACCTGGAAGGAGTGGGGGGGAAACTGGTGGCCAAATCTTCAAAAGCGCCCCGACAGACATCGGGTCTTCGGGATAGGTGAAGGTGAAGGTCAATAGCGTCATTGCTTTCATGTAAACATCATTGTTACAAGGAGCGTTGACCTATACACTTTGACGTTTGACAAAGTCTCCATCAGAGTCCCCGCATCCCGGAAAGTTCCGGGTCAAGCTACGTCCCCAGCCACTCACCGGCCTGGTCTAGCTGCACCGAGTCGTCGTAGTCCTGCACGTGCTTCATGGAGCTCTTGGGGTCGAATCCTCGGGACAGCAGGAAGTGGATATAGTACTCCTTCCACTTAATGAATCCATCGCCTGAGGGGAGATAAGACCAGGGCATGACTTTTATTTCACCTTTAACAAATGTTTTTGAGAAAAATCCACACAGAAATGTGTTTTTAAATGAATATAAAAGGTGTTGTGCAACACCCCCTCCACCCCTCCCCAACCCAAAAAAAATAATTCTTTAAAAAAATATTAAAAAATAAATAAAAATTGCAGAAACATGTGAGGAACCATGGTGAAATCAGGCGCTTGTCAAAATAATGAAAAGGAAGAAACAGGCAATTTTCCTCCAGTTTGACAATTTTGGTCAAATTTTGGGTTTTTTTGGCTCAACACCTTTTACGTCCATATAGAAATACATTTACACATGAATTTTATGGAAAAAAGTTGTTTAAAGGCACAAAATATGTAAATTTTCAGTTTTCAAAGACTCTCAAGCTATAGAAGTTACCAAACATTTTCTCGATTATGTAACCCCAGAAAACAGGTTACCCCCACCTCCTTCGATCGCAAATATCTCGACTTCTATTCACGACAATTGGGTATTTTTTTCATGGAAAGAAAGACAAAAAACAGAAATTGATGAGCGTCTTATTCCACCACATGTTGACGCAAATGTCAGTTTCTTTTTGTCTCATCTGAATGTATGTGTCTGTTGATGTGTCCGGTGTCGTGTCCGGGTGTCCTGTTTGCGTGACTAACCGTCGGGGTCCAGATGGACGAAGATCTTGTCGTTCTCCTCCGAGGCCTCCAAGAAATGTTCGCTCATCTTGGCCTTGATCCAAGCCTCCATTTCCGCACTAGACAGGCTGCCGTCCCCGTCTTTGTCCGCTCTGTCAGACACATCGCAAGACACTTCATGTCATACACATCGCAACACACTACGTGTAAAACACATCGCAACACACTACATACATCGCAACACACTACAAGTCAAACACATCACAACACACTAAATGTCAAACGCATTGCACTTCAGGATACAAAACACATCGCAACACACCACATGTCAAACACATTACAACACACTTCATGATATAAAACACATCGCAACATACTCCATGATATAAAACATATCACAACACATCACAACACATCACAACACACTACATGTCAAATACATTGCCACACACATCACAACACACTACGTGTCAAACACATCACAACACACTACATGTCAAACACATCACAACACACTACGTGTCAAATACATCACAACACACTACGTGTCAAACGCATCACAACACACTACATGTCAAACGCATCGCAAGACACTACGTGTTTTAGTTTTAGTATAGGTTTTACGGCGCTCGCAACTGCATAAGGTCATATGAGTGCCAGAAGATTAGAGGTGTTACAAGAGAGTAACAAACATAAAAAAGAAGGAGGGGAGATAAGGTCAATAGATGTTTGACAGAAAAGAAGAAACAAACCACACCAGAGCAACAGCCAACCACCCACACACTACGTGTAAAACACATCTCAACACACTACACGCCAAACACATCGCAACACACTTCACGATGTAAAACACATCACAACACACTTCATGTCAAACGCATCACAACACATCACAACACACTTCATGTCACAAAATACACCTCAACACACACATCACATCACATTTGAACTTTTACAGAGTTATAAATATTGAAATTATAGTCTCCACCCATTTTTTGCCTTTTTTATCTTCAAGCTGTCAACGGGGGGCTGTGGTGGCCTAGAGGTTAAGGTGTTAGCCTCTCATTCAAAGGTCCCGGGTTCGAATTCGGGTAGCGACCGAAACATTTTCTTCTCACAATTTGTCTCCTTTCACCTCATTTCCTGCTCTCTAGCAATGTTCTGTTGTCTGCTTTCGTCTCCTCTTTCTGCCACCACCCCCTTACCTCCT